AAGATGATTGAGGTTGTAATGGTGAACCGAACTAGCAAGTATAACGAGGTTGTGAAACAATAAGGGGGAAACGCTAGGTCAACAGGGGCTAATCGCAGAGAAGCAAGCAATGATCAATGAAACAATGATAGATGAATTGATTAGGGATGTTGGGATATTAAGAACCGTCTAGAACACAGATCACGAATATAAAACCATTCCACTTTCGAGGCTCCGGCTCCTTTGTTAATCTACCTAGTCGCTAAACTTTTGGTATGTCCCTATGATTAAATCAAGCTTTAGAATGAATAGGTTCTGATACAGTTCACTAGATTGTAGTAGATCAACTTTCGCAGTCTAAAAAACCTAGCTTGTGAAAGAATATGTCCAGCGAATGATACAGCACTATCGAGGCTCAAATCAACCTAAGATCGGATTACTAGATGCGCGGTAAAGCAATCAGCATTAGTTAAGTGCACAAGACGAGACAAAGACTCTAATATAATCCCTAGCTAATCATTGAAATCAAAGATCATGCAAGCAACTCATTGAATAGTAACCCTAGCAACCTAACTAGTAGATTACTCAGACATGATCAAAGCAAACACACATAGAGATGAAGAAAACATGATTGCAATTAAACTTAGAGTAAGAAATCGAAATACAAGGCGATGCAACTACTAAGTCTCCTCTTGGAGTGTTCAAGAACTATCACTTGAAAATTGGAGAATGCATCATCCAAACTGATCTCACTGTGATGGAAATGGAAGAAGAGAAGGATTTGCCTTTGCTATTGGGAACCCCTTTCCTTAGTACAGTTGGCGCTTCAATTGACTTTCACAAGCAAGAAGTGATCCTTCACAAGGTGAATAGTTTGGTGTCATATCGCTTGCAGCCTAGAGGTTCAGACTTTTGTGCCACAATTGACAGTACCAATCTCAGTTCTAAGAGTCATGGAGCTACAAAGGTTGTGAAGGAAAGGGTTGACAAGGAACCAAGAGTTGGGAAGGATAAGGATGAGAGAGGACCAAGGATTGAGAAGCCACGTCTTGAGAGGGCTAGAGTTGAGAAACCACGATCTGATAGGCCAAGAGCTGAGCGACTTGTTCAAGCCCCTTGTGTGCTTGATGAAGAGAGCCTTCAAGCTTTGTTTGATGAGCCACTAGGAAGGGCTCTACAAGAAGGGGAGGATGCAGCCTCTAAGGCAAGACCAGGAGATAAAAGAAAGGATCCACCAGCTCAGGCCCCTTCAGTCAAGCCATCTCAGCTCACAATGACTTTGTTCCCCACCAAGTTTGAAAATGGGAAGATTGAGTACAAGATAAGGTACAAGGGGAGATCAAGGCCATTCTCTAGAGCCAAGGCCTTGGTGACTTCAGAACAGTCCAGGGACCCAACCAAGCTAAAGGAGCTTCTGTCTCAAGTCCTCACTATCACCCTTGATGGTGGGACTAGCTCAACCAATGCCTAAGAAGGTAAAGGTCAAGCTATGGGACCTTAAACAAGCTCACTTGGGAGGAAGTCCCATGTTTATCCTTGTACATATCTATTTATGCAATTTCTATCTATTTTATGTTTTAACCTTTGAATAAGTTAAGTTTAGGTGTCAAGGAGCCAGCTCGACCGACAGCTCGATCGAGCTAGAAACCAGGGCAACTCGATCGAGTTCCGCAACTCGACCGAGGTAAGTTTTTGAATTTCAAATTTCTAACCGTTTTCTTGGTCAAGGGAGTGGGTCCCACAAGTTAATTTTGGTCCCCCACTTCCTGAATTTGATCAGAAAAACCCTAGCTTCTTGTCCCCCTTTATTTCACCTTTTAATCTCAACCACACATCTCAAACACTCCTCTTCCCCATAACTCGATCGAATCCACCCTCTCTCTCTCCCACAATCTTAAAATTTCTGAAAATCATCTCTCTCTCTCATCACCACAAGAAAAATCGATTTCTCCTTTTCTCTTAAGTTTTTGCGATTTCTCTTTGTTTTCTCTCTTGTTTAGTTCTTGTTTCTGTGATTCTTCCATCATCCAAGCAAGGTATGAACACTTGAAACCCTTGATACTTCATCTCGATTTCCTATTGCTTGTTTCCCTTTGATTTTTGATTGCATGTGTCCCTTGAGGACTTGCCTTGAGTAATTGCTTTCCTTTTTACTTCATATTTGCATAATCTTGTGAATTTGCCTCACCTCACCTCTGTTTTATCATTAGAACTTGTTGCATGTGCTTGAAAATTTGAATTTGAGTTTGGTATTGGTTAAAATGCTAAGCGCTTCACTAGAATTGCTCTTTGTTCCTTAACTTGATGTTACTGGTTCAATTTGTTTGATTAGCATCTTTTCCAGCTCTTATGCTTGAATTAGGTTCGGTTATACTCTGTTTTCACCCAGCTCGATCGAGTTTGTCACTCGAGTTTTTTGACTCGATCGAGTTGAGTGTCGAGTTGGCCGAACCAACATTGCAACTCTAATTCTTTGAGTTTTTGATCCATTTCAGGAACCCAACTCAAGAAGCAACAAGTTGAAGATGTTGAGAGGTGAAGGAAGCCAAGCAGCATTGGGGAGAAAGCAAAGGGCAGAGAAGGCAAGAAGAATGAGAGAAAGGATGTCCATAGATGAGGTTGGAATATGTGAGATCAAGGGAAGAGAGAACCAGCAGATGAAAGAAAGGCATGCCTCCTCTGAGGAGCGTTCTGAAAGCGAGAAATTTAGGGAAGAGAGGAGAACCAAGAAGAAGGAATGATCCTATCAGCAGTGAGAGCGAAGTAGGAGAGTTTGAAATTGGAGTAAACATCCCACATGAGGAGAATGATGAGTCCCCAAGTGAAGAAGAGGGCGAAGAGGTCAATCAAGAGATTGAGGAGAATGAGCATGAGGAGCAATGAGAATGTGCCCATGGAAGAGAGGAGTCAGAGGAAGAGAGGATGAGCTCCCCATGTACCAAGAGCATTATGATGCTCTCTTCTCCATGGACTTCATGGACACCAAGTACCCACATGTTGACACATGAAGGCCCTTGGAATCTTTGAGGATGTGGAGCTAATTCTCAAGAACATGCACTTGGCCAAGCTTTTCTCTTACCACATGGAATCCTACAAGGAGCTCACTTGTGAGTTCTTAGCTTCAATGAGGTATCCACATGTATGAAGAGGAAGATAGAGCTGATTTGGACCAAGGATTGGGATGGATCACGTTCTTGGCTAAGGGAGAGAAGAGAATGGTGACCTTTAGGCAGCTGGAAATCTTGTTTGGGTTCAACTATGGAGAGGGACCAAGTGGAACTTCAAGGAAAAGGAACTCCAAAGGGTTTGGGCTACAATCGCTGATGGAGTGTACTCTTCCTCAAGGTCCAAGGCAGCTCAGATCAGGAGCCCAGTCTTGAGGTATGTGCACAAGGCACTTGCCAACACCTTCTTTGCAAGGAAGGCGACCGGGACAATCAACGAGGGGGAACTCAAGTTTCTTGACATGGGAATCAAGCCCCTTCTCTCACGCACAAGCGATGGCAAGAGGATCAGGGGAGATAGATCTGACACAGGGAACTTGATGCCCTTCCTTGACCATCTCCTTACCTACAAGATCACAGCTTACAACACTAGGCATCAACGAGGGAGGCGTCTAAGTGTTGGAGGACTCATCACACCTATCTTGTGTGCTGCTGGAGTGAACCCAACTGATAAGAGAGCCACTGAACCAGGTTGGATGGACATCAAGTTTTGCAAGACCAACCTTCTCATTGAGCACAAGGAGTTGGATGGGAGATTCCAATTCAAGTTCACACATCCATTGGTTGGATCCTCCAAGTTCTCCTACCTAACCCAGAGCTCACCACAGTAGCAAGGGGTGAGAACATTGACTTCAGACCCCCTGTGTACACATTAGTTGGGCATGAGGATGATCCGCGAGAAGAGGAGCCTGAGCTCGATCGAGCTGAGGATCGAGCTGAGTCGAGCTGAGGATCGAGCTGAAGATCCAGGAGAGTGCGGATTTGGGTGAGCCTGAGTGCTATTACTTTGAGGAGTATGAGGCTCCAAGGATGAACCCCTCTGTTGTGGCTGCACACAAGAGGATTGGACTTCTCCAAAAGTTCAACAAATGGCAAGGGAAAGCCATTGAGAAGATGCAAAAGTCCATGGACAAGATGGTGAGCAAGATCAAAAGTCTTGGAGAAGAAGGTTTCTGGTTCTTCAAGCAAGAAGAAGAAGTCCAAGGCCCCCACATTCCTTAGGAGTAGATCTCTCCTCACCACTCCAAGGAGGCTCCCTGCCCAAGAGCCTCACAGAGCCTCTTCTTTCGAGCCAAGGGAAGGAGAAGACAACACGCAGAGAAGGAGGAAGACTTCCAAGGCCAGACGCTCCAGCTCGACCACCGGACTCGATCGAGTCCAAACAGAGGAAACTCAACTCGATCGAGCTGACGGTCGAGCTGACCAGGAGGAGCCCCAGTTCGAGGATCCGGGATTTGAATACGATCCCATGCCTTACCAGGAGCCTCCCCGGAGTAGATGGAACCCCTATGGACAGTACGAGCTACCAATGCTCCACCAAGGCCAAGGAAGCCACACCCACTTTGAGGATGAAGAAGAGGAGGAAGAGGAGCCGCAAGCTCGATCGAGTGAGCCACAAGACAACCCCAGTTGCATGGAGTGCTCCTGATGGCCGTCTCCCATCTCCAGACCACGACCTAGTCTCCCAGTTCTTTGGGGGACACTGAGGTATCCAAACACCATCCCTTGTATATACCATTTCATATTTTCTTGTTTTGTTCTTGTTTTTCTTGGTTTTGCCCTCTTGAATCTTTCACTAAATTTTTCTCACACAAGGGACTGTGTGATTTAAGTTTGGGGGAGGGTTCAAGAGATGATTTAACCTTGTTTTCTTTGTTCTTAGTTTTTCATTCTTTTGCATAGAAAAACCAAAAAAATCATAAAATTTTCAAAAAAATCCAAAAATATTTTCATCTTTTTGCATTCATATTTGTTAGACTTGTTTAGGATTGCATTTTTCACTTGCATTGTTGATTTGACTTTGAAAACTTGTCCATCTTTTGCGATTTCTTGAGTGCCCTGTTTTTAGATTCTTTTGTGCATTAGGGTGAGATTGATTGAGCAGCAAGAACCATGTTTATCTTGATCATATCACTGCATGCACATCTCATTCAACCATTGCTGTGATTTGATGCATTTCCCTATCTATTTGAACCATAACTTGATCTTTAATTACCAATGCTTGCATTTGATTTCAACTCATGGCTACCACATACATATCTGGACATTCTTTACCATTTCATATCCCTCTTGCTTGTCCAGATAGCTGATCTCCATCTTTGAGACAGTGTACCACACCTTAAACCTAAGCCTTTTCATTTCAAACCCCATTTTATCTCTTGTGCGAATGTGAGAACCTTTCTTGGCTTTGCTTAGCATAAGGTGTTGTGTTTAAACCGGCAGGGGCAGTAGTTCTAGTTGTCTAGTTCTCTTGGGATTGTTTTCAGGCTAAGTTTGGGGGTGCCAACTCGAGCTCGATCGAGTTGGGTGTCAAAACCAGAAAAGTGGTAAAAGTTGGGAAAAACCCAAAGGAAAAAGAGTTTGGTTAAGTCCAGGGAGTTGGCAGTGTTTAAAAAGGGTCTAGTAAAGGTTTGGGAAGTTAAAAAAGGAAAGTAAAAAGGGTTCTAAGTAGAATGAAAAGAAGGCAAAGCCTCAAGTGTCAAAAAGAAAGAAAAGTTCCCTAAGTGTTTAGAAAATCCCAAACCGCTAGATGTTACCTCAAGAAGCCTCTCCCTAGGAAGTTCTTAAAAGAAAAGTGAGCAAAGCTCCTCAGTTTCAAAGGCGAAATGCCAAAAAGGGTAGTTAGGATTTTGTTCTAAAAAGCTCTAAGTGTTGAACTCGATCGAGTTAGGATTAGGCGGCTCGAGCTGCTGTTCTTGCATCATCTTTGGTTCTAACACTTAGCCTTCTGCCAAAGCAAAGCCACTTTCTTGAGAGATCCCTGTTACTAAACCACCATACAAAAGAGACCCTCTTTGTCTCTTAACCCATTGAAACCAAATGAGTTGATTGATCTTGCATGTTTTTGGTTCACTGTTTTTGCTTAATGAATGTTAAAGGGATTTGCTGATTTGAATGCATTGTTTGAGTGACTGTGAAGTGGGATTGATGTTGATAAGCATGGTTAAATCTTAATGAATATCTCTCACCTTGTTGCATTCTAGAATCTCTAAGTTGGACATTTAGCAAATCGCTTTTGAGGACATGTTTTTAAGTGTTGAATCAGCTTTTTCAAACCTCATCTCTTTCTTGTTCTATTTGTTTGCTTGAGGGCAAGCAAAGTTCAAGTTTGGGGGTGTTGATGTACTTGCATTTTACATAGTTTTAGCACATCTTTTATGCATCTTTTGCATAGTTTTAGCTTCCATTTGCATCATATCTTGTTCCTTTTCTCTTCTTATGCATTCATGTTAGTTTTAGGTTGCATTTGCATACATATGCATGTTTGGTCCTTTGAAATAGGTCTTTTGGAGCATTCTGGAGCATATGGGACAAAGGAGCATGGAGGGACTTGGCACATGGAAGCAGCTCAACTGGATACGCAAAGGAAGAAGGGAGAAGCCATCTTGAAGACCAGCTCGACCGTCCACTCGACCAACCGGTCGAGTTCCTCAACTCGACCGGCCAAGCTTCAACTCGATCGAGCTGGAAGTCAAAGTCAAACCCGAAAAATGTTGCTTCCCCCTTGACTTTCCTTTGACCCTAAACCTAATCCTCTTGTATTTAAAGGCTCTAAGCCACGAAAAAACCACCAAGCTTTAGATTACTTTTGTTTTAGCTTCTTTTAATTTATTGTCTTTTACTTTTTAGAGATCTAATCCCATCTTTGTGTTCTTGAAGCTCTTGCTTCTTGAATCCTAGATCCTGGATAATCTCTCTTTGTATTTGCACTTGCTTATTTCAATAAAAGTTGTTTAATTTCATCTCCTCTTTCTTATGATGTCTCTTTTATTGCATTTGCTTGTGTTTACATTCATGTGTAGTGAGTAGTTACCCATTGGGTTTGAGATGGGATAGATTAGAGGTTTCATATGCTTAATCCTTCTAGCTTATGGTCTTAATCTAGATTCTCTCTCTTTTGGATAGATCTTAAGGCTACATGACCACTACCCCTGGCTTGTAAGTCCTTAGGCGACTCCCCACACGGAAGTGATGGCATTCGCTGGAAAAGATCCACTAAGAGCTCCAATATCTCTTGCTCTAGAAATAGAGGTCTAAGGGGTTGGATGGATTAGTTTGGGCAATGATCCTATAGCCTCCAAGGTTTGATTCTCACTGGCTAACCCCCTGTTTCTGAGATCATTCCTTGGTTGATAGCCTTCACCTTGGGAAACAGGGAATGATCTCAGAAATGATCTCAACCAAGGAATGATCTCAGAAACAGGGGGTTAGCCAGTGAGAGTCAAACCTTGGAGGCTATAGGATCATTGCCCAAACTAATCCATCCAACCCCTTAGACCTCTATTGTCTAGAGCAAGAGATATTGGAGCTCTTAGTGGATCTTTTCCAGCGAATGCCATCACTTTCGTGTGGGGAGTCGCCTAAGGACTTACAAGCCAGGGGTAGTGGTCATGTAAGATCTATCCAAAAGAGAGAGAATCTAGATTAAGACCATAAGCTAGAAAGATTAAGCATATGAAACCTCTAATCTATCCCATCTCAAACCCCAATGGGTAACCCTCAGGACCAAGTATATCCTCAACAACAAGCAGCTCGATCGAGTCAGGTGCCACAACATGGGTATGGTCAAAAGAACAATTACCAAGGACCACAAGGCACTTTCCCTGGACAACAAATGAATATCCCACCAGGCTTTCCGCACCAACCGCCCCAGCCTGCACCTTCACAAGAGAATGAGCTTAAGGCAATGCTAAAGCAACTACTTCAAGGGCAAGCTGATGGGGTAGTGGACACAAGCAAGAAGCTAGCTGAAATAAACTCTAAGATCGAGAACGTCAACACAAGGGTTTACTCTCTGGAGAATCATGCTTCTTCTGTTGCTGCTGCTACAAAGCAAGGACACCTACCTGGTAAAGCTATTCAGGACCCCAAGGAACAGTGCAAGGTCATTGATGTACTTGCATTTTACATAGTTTTAGCACATCTTTTATGCATCTTTTGCATAGTTTTAGCTTCCATTTGCATCATATCTTGTTCCTTTTCTCTTCTTATGCATTCATGTTAGTTTTAGGTTGCATTTGCATACATATGCATGTTTGGCCCTTTGAAATAGGTCTTTTGGAGCATTCTGGAGCATATTGGACATGAGGAGCATGGAGGGACTTGGCGCATGGAAGCAGCTCAACTGGACACGCAAAGGAAGAAGGGAGAAGCCATCTTGAAGACCAGCTCGACCGTCCACTCGACCGGCCAAGCTTCAACTCGATCGAGCTGAGAAGTCAAAGTCAAACCCGAAAAATGTTGCTTCCCCCTTGACTTCCCTTTGACCCTAAACCTAAAACCTCTTGTATTTAAAGGCTCTAAGCCACGAAAAAACCAAAGCTTTAGATTATCTTTGTTTTAGCTTTTCTTTAATTTTATTGTCTTTACTTTTTAGCAACCCTAATCCCATCTTTGTGTTCTTGAAGCTCTTGCTTCTTGAATCTAGATCCTGGATTATTTGCTTTGTATTTGCACTTGCTTATTTCAATAAAAGTTGTTTAATTTCATCTCCTCTTTCTTATGATGTCTATTTCATTGCATTTGCTTGTGTTTACATTCATGTGTAGTGAGTAGTTACCCATTAGGGTTTGAGATGGGATAGATTAGAGGTTTCATATGCTTAATCCTTCTAGCTTATGGTCTTAATCTAGATTCTCTCTCTTTTGGATAGATCTTAAGGCTACATGACCACTACCCCTGGCTTGTAAGTCCTTAGGCGACTCCCCACACGGAAGTGATGGCATTCGCTGGAAAAGATCCACTAAGAGCTCCAATATCTCTTGCTCTAGACAATAGAGGTCTAAGGGGTTGGATGGATTAGTTTGGGCAATGATCCTATGCCTCCAAGGTTTGATTCTCACTGGCTAACCCCCTGTTTCTGAGATCATTCCTTGGTTGATAGCCTCCACCTTGGGAAAGGGTTGGCTAGGCATTGAGAAGCCCAATATCAAGAGAAGCCTTGATACAAGGAGTTTTAAGAGCTAGATGATTAAGTGTAGATTCCTTTGATTGCAAAACCCTGTCTTGAACCCTAATTCTCTCTTTATCTTGTTAAAGTCGTCACCTTTACTGTCTCCTCGACCCACAACTCGATCGAGCTACTTGTCTTCGACTCTTGCTTTGTTTACTTTTATTGCACTGCATTTTCATTTCTTAGGTTGTTAGTGTTACTTAAATCCTATAACTGCTTGCTTGACTTTCTGGTTGTTTCATATTCTCATAGAGTGACAAGTTTCCCATTTTGGATTGATAACCTTTGTACTACATGAACTATGATGGTTAAAGGGAATTGTTGACTGTGTTTGTGTTTGCATCTTACCACCATCATTTACCACTGATTGCATTCCACTCATCTCATTTCATTCTTTTCACATCCACACACAAATCACCTTTATCAGTCATCTTCACTCAAGAAGGACTTGTTGAAGAAGAGGATCAAGAAAGGGTCATTGAAGATTTTTGTTTACTGCTGAATGATGAAGAGATTGTTGCTGCTGAGGCTCCTGGAGTCCAGATTGATCAACCAGAAGTGCAGGCACCTACTGTGGCCATTCACACTTCACCAGTTGAGCTCGCACAACAAGCTCGATCGGCAGCTCGATCGAGTCCAACTCTAGCTCGATCGAGTCCGACCTCTTCTGTCCGACAGCCAATTTTTGCTTGATCCTTACCAACCGGTTGCCGCTTCCTCGTCTCGCCTACTTAGTCAAGGTCACAAGGAAGTGATTCACAAGTTCAGAAGAGATCTCAGTGGGATTGGAATTGAGTTGCCTCCTATGGATAGCATGAGTGAGGCATTTGATCAAATGCAAATGGTCAAGGATGTTCTAGCCAACAGTGATAAAGTTTCAGAGGTCCTACAAGAGTCTACTCATCAGTTCAACCTGCTTACTTCACCCACCTTCCTACCAAAGGTCAAGGATCAAGGGAAATTCACTCTCCCTTGCACACTTGGGCATCTTGAGATTGACAATGCCTTAGTGGATTCTGGAGCAAGCATCAATCTGATCTCTCTCTCCATGGCAGAGAAGCTAGGCATTGCTGGAGCCTTGCAGCGCCCTACTACTTCAATCATGTTTGGAGATGCAACTTCTAAGTCTCCTCTTGGAGTGTTCAAGAACTATCACTTGAAAATTGGAGAATGCATCATCCAAACTGATCTCACTGTGATGGAAATGGAAGAAGAGAAGGATTTGCCTCTGTTATTGGGAACCCCTTTCCTTAGTACAGTTGGCGCTTCAATAGACTTTCACAAGCAAGAAGTGATCCTTCACAAGGTGAATAGTTTGGTGTCATATCGCTTGCAGCCTAGAGGTTCAGACTTTTGTGCCACAATTGACAGTACCAATCTCAGTTCTAAGAGTCATGGAGCTACAAAGGTTGTGAAGGAAAGGGTTGACAAAGAACCAAGAGTTGGGAAGGATAAGGATGAGAGAGGACCAAGGATTGAGAAGCCACGTCTTGAGAGGGCTAGAGTTGAGAAACCACGATCTGATAGGCCAAGAGCTGAGAGACTTGTTCAAGCCCCTTGTGTGCTTGATGAAGAGAGCCTTCAAGCTTTGTTTGATGAGCCACTAGGAAGGGCTCTAAAAGAAGGGGAGGATGCAGCCTCTAAGGCAAGACCAGGGATAAAAGAAAGGATCCACCAGCTCAGGCCCCTTCATTCAAGCCATCTCAGCTCACAATGACTTTGTTCCCCACCAAGTTTGAAAATGGGAAGATTGAGTACAAGATAAGGTACAAGGGGAGATCAAGGCCATTCTCTAGAGCCAAGGCCTTGGTGACTTCAGAACAGTCCAGGGACCCAACCAAGCTAAAGGAGCTTCTGTCTCAAGTCCTCACTATCACCCTTGATGGTGGGACTAGCTCAACCAATGCCTA